TTCATGCATCCATTTAATAAATATTCATTGTCTCTAATATGCCAAGCATTAAATTTAGCATAAAAGACAGTAGTGGACAAGATGGACAAATAAAATGCCTACTCTTTTGGAGTTTCCGTTCCAGGGTGTATCTATGTAAGCGATATGTGTTGAGGGTAGCTTACATTTTAATAGGCACGTGTGCTTCCAACCAAGCAAGCACAATTCTCAGAAGTGCTTTGGTGGAAATAAACCAGTGTGATCTATTTAATAGTCAGTGACTGGAAGTGGTGATTGTGAGGCCTCTCACAATATTGTAAGACTTGAGCAAGCAAGGGTAGGGTTGGGGAGGGGAGATCTGGGGAAATTAGGATAGGAAGAAGGCAGCCAAAATGCTGGGGGCCAAGTGTTCACAACCAAAGAAAAGGAAAATGCAAAGGGCCTACAGTGAGAAGGACCACGGTGTCTGAGGAACAGAAAGATGGCCAAGAGGTGAAGCTGGAGACGGATAGGGGCCAGATCACAGGGATTTGAGGGCAGTAGGATGGAGTTTGGATTAAATTTGTTCAATCAATCCATTCGTCTACGCATCTGGCAAGTGTGAAATGCTTCCTCTGCACCAGGCACTGTGTTATGAGTTAGGGATACTGCAAAGAAGCACCAATGTGTGTTCTCTGTCTGTGCTCTACCAGGGGAACTGTCAGGGTATCTGGAAAAAATCATGCTCTTTTGAGATATTTAAATAAAAATGACTTATACCCCTATCGAGTACCCTCTCCAAGAGCCTCTCAGGAGACCAATCTTGTGGTTCCGTCTCCAAGTTCCTGCCCATGAAGAATTCTCTCCATTCACCTTGCTCGGGACTATCCTTGACCTTGATCCATCCTCATCCTCCAAGATCACTCATACAAAGCACCTGTGGGTGTGTGAGACTTCCCTAAAAGTTGTACTGGCATATGAGTTTTATATTACAATGCAAAGAATTTAAAATTAAATATTGTGTACCATATTTTAGGTTCTGATTCTCCCCACCACCTGGCCTTCCTCACTGATCACCTCTCACTGAAACTGGCTTTGCAAAATTATAACTGAGGAAATTGTTACAGTGAAAGAAATCAGACCTAACCGACTCTATCTTGCTTAAGCTGCCCTTGTCCATTCCTGGGTGTAGGCCGAACTAACTTTGGGAAGGAATTCAGTTCATGGTTTGACGCTGAAACAAAATTGACAACAGCCCTTTCCTGAAAAGACCCCTTCTTGCCTGGGGACCAGTCTGCCTTTGTAGGACTCACAAAGTAGCTACAAGATGAGAAATTACAGTTTAGGATCATGCAGGCTCTGGTTCCCAGAGTCTGACCCTCCCCAGATTGCTCCTGGGGGTAACGTCACTACTGTAAAACCTAAAATCAGTGCTTGAGATATTTTGCATACATTGCCCTGGATGGATCAGCTGACACCACCCAGATAATCTGGCCCAACCAGTTCTGCCATCTCACCCAGGAACAGAAGACATTAAGAAAACCTCTGCCGGCCGGGTGTGGTGGCTCACGCCTGTAATCCCAGCACTTTGGGAGGCCGAGGTGGGTGGATCACGAGGTCAGGAATTCAACACCAGCCTGGTCAACATGGTGAAACCCCGTCTCTACCAAAAATACAAACATTAGCTGGGCGCAGTGGGAGGCGCCTGTAATCCTAGCTACTCAGGAGGCTGAGGCAGAAGAATCACTTGAACCTGGGGGGCGGGGGTTGCAGTGAGCCTACACTCCAGCCTGGGTGACACAGAGAGGGTCCTTCTGAAAAAAAGAAAGAGAGAAAGAGAGGATGGAAGGAAGGAAGGAAGGAAGGAAGTAGGGAGGGAGAGAGGGAGGGAGGGAGGGAGGGAGGGAAGAAAATCTCACTTTGACGCCCTGTGATTCCATTTCCAACCTGACCAATCAGTACTCCCCACTTCCCAAGTCCCTACCCACCAAACTATCTTTAAAAACTCTGATCCTCGAATGCTCAGGGACTGATTTGAGTAATAATAAAACTCTGGTCTCCTGCACAGCCGGCGCTGCATGAATTACTCTTTCACTATTGCAATTCCCCTGTCTTGATAAATCAGCTCTGTCTAGGCAGCAGGCAAGGTGAACCCATTGGGCGGTTACATCATGACAGTCCAGCCATCCCACACGTTGCCAGGCCCCCTTGCTTTAGAGACCCTGCTCACTTGCTTGAGCGGATCTGTGTGGCTCTCCATACCCTTGGCTCGGAACCCTCTCATGGATATGGATGGGCTTCTACTCTACCTGCTTGGGGTCTCACCATTCAGTGGCTTAGAACTAGAGAACGTGGAAATGACAATCTTACTTTCCTCCTCTCACCAGGCTCTTGAAGTGGGAAGAAACAGTATCTTACACTCAGCCCAGTGCGTTGCACATGGTAGGTGTTCAGTAAATATTTGCTGAACAAATATCAGATGGGTAAGGATTTTCCCCTAGGCTTGAAATGATTCCTCCTCCCTTCCTTGAAGGCAGAGTAGCTAGAATCAGTTTTGATTTTTCTTATTGTTATTGTTATTTATCTACTACACAAATACCTAGGCTGTTACAATATGATGTGTTGTGTTGGGATGAGGGTAAGTGAGAGGGGGCTCTGGCCGGCCTGGTAGGAGGCCCAGCAGGGGCCCCAAAGAATTATCCAATGAAGAAGATGGGACAGTAATCTTTGGAAGAGAGAGAGTAGTGTATTCAAAGTCCTGATAGCAAGAAAGGGTGTGTCTGGTTGCAAGTTAGGTGGGGCAGGAGGGAGAGAGTGGGGGTTTGGGCTGTAGTGGGAAAAGATCACTCAGGGACAGATCCAGCAGCCTAATAAGTCTTGCAGAGAAGTCTGCACTCAATCCTGTAAGCAATGGGTAACATCAAAGGATTTTAAAAGGAACATGCCTTTTGCTTTGGCTCATGTATTTTCTTCTGTCTGTGAGGCACCTCCCTACCCCAAACCCTGCTTTCTCAAGTCCTATAACTGTGCCTGAGCCTCAAGCCTGCCATGAGTGAACTCTGCTCTAAGAAGGCACCCCTGATTGCCCTGTGCTCTGCAAAGCCCCAGTCTGAAACACCTGTCTTCTCACCTCTCCCATAATTTGGATGGACTCACTTAAGCCATATATATTTTGCTTTGTTAGGAGAAAGTCAGAACAGAGTAATAGTGAAGAGTGAAGGTCCTGAAGTCAGGCTGCCTGGGCCCGTTGCTTACCGGGTGTATGATTTGGGACAGGGCACTTTTGCTTATCTGAAAAATGGAGATAGACACCGGACCTACCTCAGCTGGGCACAGTGGCTCACGCCTGTAATCCCAGCACTTCAGCAGGCTGAGATGGGCAGGTCACTTGAGGTCAGAAGCTCGAGACCAGGCTGGCAAACGTGGTGAAACCCCATCTCTACTAAAAATACAAAAATTAGCCAGGCGTGGTGGTGGGCACCTGTAATTCCAGCTATTGGGGAGGCTGAGGCATAAGAATCGCTTGAACCCGGGAGGTAGAGGTTGCAGTGAGCTAAGATCTCGCCACTGCCCTCCAGCAGCCTGGGTGACAGAGTGAGGCTCTGTGAGAGGAAAGAAAAAAAAAAAGAAAAGGAAAGAAAATTGGACCTACCTCATATGATTGTAGTGCAATTAAATGTATTAAATATACATAAAGCACACAGCATGGTGTCTGGCACGAATCAAAGATTCAGTGAGGGCCATTCTTTTTTTGCCTGTCTCTGTTACTGAACGATGAGCTCTTTGCAGGCTGGGATTGCGACTCATGGTTTGCTATGCCCTTGGCCCCTAGCACAGGTCCCAGCAGAGTGGGTGTTCAGTCACTGATTCTGCTGTCTTTTGGGGTTTGGATGTGCCCTTGAGAAGCAGCCCTGCAGCTCCTTGTTAACTCTTCCATAAGAAAACATATAGGTTCCAGTTTTGCTGTCACCATGTGACTTACCCAAGCTACTTCTCTCTTGGCCTCAGGCTTCTTCATTGCGAAAATAACAACATCTGCTTCCTAGGGTGACTGGCTTTTTTCCCTCAGGACTGGAATGTGGATGTGGAGCTGTAGTGACTGCAGCTACCTGTGGCCCCAGTGAGAGGACATGGGGGCACGGAGGGCCGGGAGCATGGGAAGCGGGGGCAAGAGGGAGAGTGGGAATGAAGCCAGCACTGCAGGGCCACGTCAGATGGAGGGAAACAGTTCTGCTGATATCTTTAGTACCCTGAATCCAGCTGTAGCAGCAAGCAGTTCTTATCCTAGACTTCTCAGCTACGTGCAGCAATAAAAACCCCTTTTGGCTGAAATTAGTTTGAGTTGGGTCTCTTGGCACTTACCAGGAGCCCTTCTTCCTTCCACCCTACACTCAGGGATCTGTGTTCCTGGCAGCGTCAAAACTCGTGGCAGCCACAACACTGTTAATTGCCCTCAGAACTGCTAGGCCTCTTTCCTCCTTCCTAACAGAACCTTGGTTTGTTCAGGCAGCAGTGTTCCTGGCCTGAGAAGATGTTGATCCAAGCCTGTCATGATCATCCTTTTCCCTTTTGCCAGAAATTGGTCTGAGGGTAGGCATGTGACCCACTTTTGGCCAGTGAGATAGAAAAAGAAGTCTGCTGGGAGCTTCTGGAAAATATCCTGCTCACTGATAAAAGAATCTAGGTGGTAATACCTTTTTATGATTTCCTTCTATTCCCATACAAAGTCATATGAGGATGAGATGCCTGGAGCTGCTGCAGCCATCTTGCAACCATGAGGATAGACTGTGACTATGTAAACTTGTCAGAGACATCAGAGAAAAAAATGGAACTATCCTGGGCTCTTTGTGGCATAACAGTTGAAAAAAACAACTCTGTATCTACTTACCTCTAAACTTTTGGTGAAGTTAGAAAACAGCTATTTATATCATTTAAGCCACTATTCATCAGGAAACATTACTTGAAGCCACAGAATTGCTAACTGATGTTGTATATCTAGGTGGTATTACATTTAGTTCCTCATTAAAAGAACCACACGAGGCTAAGAACGTCAGCTCCTTTATTATTATTGTTATTAATTATTTACTGTTATTTCCCCCTAAACAACAGCATAACTCAAATAACAATGACACACACGTCCCTCCCGTATACACAATACCACTAGCCTATCTGTCAGGCTATCTGGCCTTTGCTTGGTTCCTGATGGAGCTGTCTGGAGACAGCTCCCTCTGTAAAAATCCCGACTTAAATATAGGGGACAGAAGAAAATGGGGACCTTGGCCAGATCATAAACTGAGAGGCTCCCAGAGTCCTTAGGGAGGGCTAACTTGGAAACCTTGGGAACATGCTGGAAATATCTGGGCAGAGGGCAGAAGGCACTGTTTGTTTTTATGTGATTGATGGACAAATTCCGTATAGGGATATAAGACCTGTATATCACCCTTTGTAGGCCAGGCATGTGGAAGTACAGTGGGGTTAGCTACTGGATTTCATTAACCAAACCATGCAGCATGGTTTGGGAGCCATGGGAATTGGGAGTCCAGAGTAGGAACCTGGGTAATGGGGGAGGTCCCCAGAGAAAAGTAACCCTTGCATTCACTGCAAGGTAAGATACAACGTGAAATGTTAAGTCCCCTTTTATGTGTTTTGCAACTATAGAATGTGCAACATTTTCATCAAGATAGAAAAGGTAAAGAAAGAAAAACTAGGATTTTGTCCTAACGCAACCAAGCATGGTTTGCCAATTGCGCTATCTTGTGGAAAAATCTACCACTACACTATCCAGGGAATCTGTGGTCAGTCCCCACCCCCGCACCCCCCAACATTTTACTTGCACTAAATCTGAGTTCAGCTAAAGTAATGTACCCTGGAATCAGAGAAGCCCTAGGGTTGGGGACAAAACAAGGATGGGCCAGTACTGGCATCTCAGGTACAGGTGACTTCCTGGCTGTCCTGGGGAAGCTCGTTGTTGAAACTGCTCTCTCCAAATGTTGAATAAGGAGGGACCTGGGGAGCTTCGATGATCAGTAGACCCTCTGGGGAAAGTGAGGCAAACACTGTCACAGGATCCACCTCTGCAGGAAGCCTAGGAGAAACATATGATTTTATTCATTTATTATTGTTAATATAGCTTAAACATTATTTTATTCACTTGAGAGGAAATATTTTTGATAAGAGCTTAGGCTTTGGGGGCATATAATGCTGGGTTTGAATCCTGGCTTTACCCCTTTCTAGCTGTGTGGTCTTGGGAAGATTATTCCATTGCTCTGAGCTTGTTTTCTCATCTGCAAAATGAGGATAATAATATTGAACTTGTAGAGTATTTGAACTTCAGAGTCTGAGTATGCTTTGAAATGGTAAAGTGCTGTTTGAACAGTAGTTCTTAACTTAAAAGAGAGCTGTGGACCACATATTTGGTCCCAGGTTGAAGTCTTCACCTTAATACCCACTACTAACCACAATTACTAGCAGAAATGGCACCACTACCATCCCTTTATAGAGCACAAGTAGGGTGTTATGCATAGCAGGCAACACATTTTCATCTGACGTGTGCTTGCTGCAGAGTGCTTCACTACAAAATGCATTATGGGTGATGCAAGCACTAGGCACCTTGGTGGATAAAAGAGGCCAAGCTGGCCACACGTAGATTTCAGATGGCAACATACTCTATGGTATTCAAATACTCTATGGTATTCAAAATAAGCCTTGATTTTGTTCATAACCTAAGTATCTCTGATGTGGTTTGGCTATGTCCACCCAGATCTCATCTTGAATTGTAGCTCTCACGTGTTGTGGGAGGGGCCTGATGGGAGATAATTAAATCATGGGTGGGGGGCAGTTTCCTCCGTACTGGTCTCATGGTAGTGAATAAGTCCCACAAGGTCTGATGGTTTTATAAGATTTTTTGCTTGGTTCTCATTTTCTCTCTTGTCTGCTGCCATGTAAGACGTGCCTTTCACCTTCTGCCATGATTGTGAGGCCTCCCCAGCCACATGGAACTGCGAATCCGTTAAACCTCTTTTTTTTTTTTACGTAGTCTCAGGTATGTCTTTATCAGCAGTGTGAAAACAGGCTAATACAATCACTTAGCAGATCATTATTATTATTATTATCTTCTTCTTCTTCTTTTTTTTTTTTTTTTAAACAGAGGCTCACTCTGTCACCCAGGCTGAAGTGCTGTGATACGATCTTGGCTCACTGCAACTTCTGCCTCCCGGGTTCAAGCAATTCTGCCTCAACCCTCCTGAGTAGCTGGGATTACAGTAACCCACCACTACGCCTGGCTAATTTATGTATTTTTAGTAGACATGGGGTTTTACCATGTTGGCCAGGCTGGTCTTGAATTCCTGATCTCGTGATCCACCCACCTCGGCCTCCCAAAGTGCTGGGATTACAGGCATGAACCACCGAGCCTAGCCAATTATCTTGTTCTTAAAACTCAATTATAGACAATACCTGGTTGGAGTATTATAAGAGGATGATTAAGAGGTAAGCATTAATATGCCCATTCTACAGATCACAAAACAGAGACTTGGGGGAAATCAGATGAGAAGCTCAATAAGTGAGAAAGCATTGAAGATGGAATTTCTAAACCTAAATCTGGTCCAAGTTCTAATAAGGTTTTTTTTTGTTGTTTTTTTTTTGATGGAGTCTCACTCTGTCGCCCAGGCTGGAGTGCAGCGGCGTGATCTCGGCTCATTGCAAGTCCGCCTCCCAGGTTCACACCATTCTCCTGCCTCAGCCTCCCGAGTAGCTGGGACTACAGGCACCTGCCACCACGCCCGGCTAACTTTTTGTACTTTTTAGTAGAGACGGGATTTCACTGTGTTAGCCAGGATAGTCTCGATCTCCTGACCTCATGATCCACCTGCCTCGGCCCTAATAAGGTATTTTTATGATTTTCGGATTGCTTTGAGTGAATGAGACTATTGAGAATCTGGTTTCTTCAACAAACTATTAAAATTGTGAGGACATATAGTGGTCTCACTGGGGTGCCATTATTTTTTTTAATCATGAAATCCATGACCTTCTGAGTACTTTCTATATGCCAGGTACTTTAGCTGAATCATATCGTTTTGGTGTTAACAATAATCCCACCAGGCAGATTCCATTGCTATCCCCATCTTACAGATGAGGAAATTGAGGCTCAGAGAAGCGAACTGCTTTGCCCACGGTTGCTCAGCTGGCAAACGGCAGAAAGGAACTGGAACTGGAATCCTGGTCTCCAAACTCAGAGTACCTGACTGTGATGCTCTCCTGCCTCCCCCAGCACCAGATATTTGAAAGAAGGACTATGGCAGGAAGGCCCAGAAGTTCAATCAAAAGTTCATAGAAGGCCCTTCTAAGGCAGGAAGGCCTAGAAGAAGTGGAAAGTTCAATCTTTCCACTTGTCCATGTTAGCTCTGCCTTTTGTAAATACAAGGGTCTCGATGAAAGAACCAAGGCATGAAGTAAGCCCGTTCCTGATCATGGGCAGGACTCCTTCTGGAGGGGCCGGGGAGTTTCTTTCCTTCCTTCCTTCCTTCCTTCCTTCCTTCCTTCCTTCCTTCCTTCCTTCCTTCCTTCCTTCCTTCCTTCTTTCCTTCCTTTTTTTTTGTGTGTACAGCATCCTGTAGCCACATGAGCCATATCTACCCAGGAGATTCCTTGCCAAATTGGAACCATGGAGATGAACAATGGTGCTTCTGGGAAGCACATTTGGAAGAAAAAGAGGGAACTAGAAAGCTGCCAAGTCAAGATTTTGAAGCAGAGACAAGGTCAAAAGTTTACAGCTCCCTCCCACTGCTGGGGATGGGCTGACTGTTTAACCATGTGCAGACCAACCCAGTGCACACTAGGTACAGTGTGACAGGGTAGCTATGGCCTAGAGCATGGGTTTTGCAGGCAGGCCAGCCTGCATTCAAATTCTGACTCTTCCTGACTACAGAGCATGGGGCTAGTGATCTTGCCTCTCTGAACCTATTTCTTTGCAGAAAAAGGGGGGCAATAATAGTATCCACCTCTTAGGGTGGTGTGAGAATTACGTTGCAGTCTTTGGCCTTACATGTTGGCATCTTGACAACAAGATGGAGTATCATACAAATTGCGGTATCGTTGGACCACAGAGGATCAGGGTCCCAAGGGATCTTCCTGATTGTCCATGACAATGGTCTCATATAACTTATGGGGAAACTGAGGCTCAGAGAGATAGACATGCCCAAGGTCTCTCACCAGGTGACTTGCATGTTGAACCCACTTGGTGGGAAGTAATTCCTCTTCATTTCTCTTTCCGTGCTTCTACTTACATCTGAAGCAATGTCTCTGCTAAGTACTAATATGCCTTTAACGCCTTTAGCCTCTATCACTTGCTACCTTCCCTTTTTAACAATGAAAGAACTGAGGCCCGTAGGCAGGAAATATTATGTAGTTAGAATTTAACCACATTTTGCTTTCATTGAATTTATTTCACGATTGCCTTCCTCAGTGAACATTTTAGTGATGAGAATTTAACTTTATCAAAAATGAGTTGATCTAAAAGAAAAAATAAACCTTTAGTAAATCATGGTACAGCAATGTAAGCATATAAGGCAAAAAATAGTGAAGATGGGATGCGAATGACGGTATTGCAAATGACTGTAATTTGGTTTCCCCTAACCAAATAGGAAGGTCATGGACTTTGAAAGTTGAGAGCTGTGCTCAGGTCCCAATCTGCTCTTTTTTAAAAAACAGCTTTATTGAGATATTATTGGCATATGAAACTGTATATATCTATATATACATGGTATACAACTTGATGTTTTGATGTATATATGCATGGTGAATACAGTGATCACTAGAGTCAAGCTAATTAACATATATTTTGTGTATCTGTGTGTGTCGGGAAGATTACATTTAAGTTAAGAAGATTAATTTTGCAACGCTACCTGCAAATTTTGAATATATAATGTAGTATCATAGACTATCATTGCCATGCCGTACATTAGCCCCCCAGAACTTACTTATCTTGCAAAACTGAAACCGTGTACCCTTTGACCAACATCTCCCCATTTCCCCCGCCGCACTGGCCTCTGACAACCACCACCCTACTCTCTGCTTCTACGAGTTCGACTATTTTAGATTCTACATATGGTGAGATCATGCAGGATTTCTCTTTTTGTGTCTTTCTTATTTCACTTAGCAGAATGTCCTCACTCCATCCATGCTGTTGCCAGTGGCAGTATTTCCTTCTTTTTTTTCCTCTGTCACCCAGGCTAGAGTGCAGTGGTGTGACCTTGCCTCACTGCAACCTCTGCCTCTGAGTTCAAGTGATTCTCCTGCTTCGGCCTCTCGAGTAGCTGGGATTAGAGGTGTGCACCACCACACCCACCTAATTTTTGTATTTTTAGTAGAGATGGGGTTTCACCATCTTGGCCAGGCTGGTCTCGAACTCCTGGCCTCAAGTGACCTGCCCGCCTCGGCCTCCCAAAGTGCTGAGATTACGGGCATGAGCCACTGCACCCAGCCTCCTTCTATTTTAAGGCTTAATAATACTATATTCCAGATCCGTTCTTTACTCGCTGTGTGACCTTAGTTGAATCCCATTACCCCTCTGAGCTTCAGTCTCTTTACCCACACGATGGGCTTGATAATACCTATTCAAGGCCAGGCATGGTGGCTCATGCCTGGAATCTCAGCACTTTGGGAGGCCAAGGCGGGCGGATCACCTAAGGTCAGGAGCTTGAGACCAGCCTGGCCAACATGGTGAAACCCCGTCTCTACTAAAAATACAAAAAAAATTTAGCTGGGTGTGGTGGCTCACGCCTGGAATCCCAGCACTTTGGGAGGCTGAGGCGGGTGGATCACCTAAGGTCAGGAGCTTGAGACCAGCCTGGCCAACACGGTGAAACCCTGTCTCTACTAAAAATGCAAAAAAAATTTAGCTGGGTGTGGTGGCACATGCCTTTAGTTCCAGCTACTTGGGAGGCTGAGGCAGGAGAATCGCTTGAACCTGGGAGATGGAGGTTTCAGTGAGCCGAGATCGCGCCACTGCACTCCAGCCCGTGTGACAGAGCTAGGCTCCATCTCTAAAAAACAAACAAACAAAACAAAACAAACCTACTCAATAGGATTCTTCTAAAGATTAAATAAAATTAAATCTATAAATCTCTTAGCATGGTTCTGGGCATGTCATAGGTGTCATAAGTGGCAGAACAGGTATCTGGGAAGATGTGGAACCAGGAAAATAAAGTTTGCTTTGGTTCCAGGCATCCTCCCTTGGTAATTTCCTGCACCCTTGTCTTCCTGTTCTCTTATCCAGGTTGAGTGTGGAAAAGAGGCCAGCTGCAGTCCTTGCCCTGCCCCCAGCCTGAGAGGAAACCCAAGACCTCTCCCTCTCCTTATTCAGTCCAAATGGGGCCTTTCACACAGAGATGGATGTGTTGGGATGAATTTCCTTGCCATAGTTAAGGCAAACAGCTACAGCATCCTGCCTGGGTGGAAATCTCCAAGGATCTCAGCCTGGCTGAAGAAATCTCCCTGTCCTCTAATGACCGGAGGTTTCCCTGGGAGAGGAGGCAATGAGGCCTCCTGAGATTGGTCCAGAGGTGTCCCAGACTCCAGTTCGACTCCTTGGTGTCTAGAGTCTGGGCAGAGCCAGGAGCTCCCAGGAGTCCCAGTTGCTGGAGTGTGAGTCCAGCCTTGTAAAGCCTTTTCATAATATTAATTCCCACGGACGAAGCCCTGAGTCTGTATTCCATGCTTAATGCATTATACACATCCTCTCACTCCCATCACAACCCCTCCATGCAGGGACGCAGGGATGCAGGAATGGAAGGTCAGGGCAGTTAAGCAAGTTGCCCCAAGTTACCCACCCACTTTCTCATGGAGCCAGGACTCCCTGCACCCGGAGCTGAGATTCAAAATATTTAACAACTGGTGCAGCTGGGCACTGACCATTCAGAAGGGATGGGTGCATGTCATAATGATGGAGGAGGGTCCTCGGACCCTTTAGTTGTTGGAAGGTGGAGAGGTTTAGAGGGTCCTGGGGACAGGATCAGAGTGACTGGGGTTGGCTAGGGAGGGCTCAGGGCAATAGCTAGCCAATATTCAGGGGTCCCTGGATCATGGACCAGTACCCATCTGTGGCCTGTTAGGAACCAGGCCGCACATCAGGAGGTGAGCAACAGTTCAACCAGCATTACTGCCTGAGCTCCGCCTCCTGTCAGATCAGCTGTGACGTTAGATTCTCACAGGAGCTTGAACCCTGTTGTGAACTGTGTATGTGAGGGATCTAGATTTCACGCTCCTTATGAGAATCTAATGCCCAATGATCTGAGGTGGAACAGTTTCATCCCCTAGTCCATGGAAAAATTGCCTTCCATGAAACTGATCCCTGGTGCCAAAAAGTTTGGGAACCGCTGAATATTTTAACAACTAGCCCAGGTCAGCAGCTGAGCACCAGCCTGGAGCAATTTCAATTTCAGGCATTTCTCATCAGGTTACTTCCAGTGAGCTATCTCCCCTAAGGCCTTGGAGCTTGTGAAATACACACACACACACACACACACACACACACACCCCTTTTAAGATGATTAATTCACTTCTTTCTCACTCATTCCCTTTTACAGCTATGCCCTGCTTGTGACTCCACCCTGAGACCTCATTTGAGCCTTGACATCAGCTTCCCCATCGCCTTCCTTCCTCTCCCTTCAGCAATGTTTAATCTGCTTGCTATACCAGGGAGAGGTGTGGGGCACGGAGATGTCAGGCAAGCCAGCGAACATGAAGAACAAACGGTTTGGCGTTTGCCTTATCAGGAAGTGTCCACAGGCTTCCAAGAACTGCAGAGGCTCTGGGAGGGCCAGGGACGGACATGTGGGGCAAGAGACAGGAATGTAGAATCCCAAAGCTGGAAGAAGCCTCAGAATTCAGCTAGTGTGATCTCTCCAGAAACACAAGGTCTTCGCAAAGGCTGATGGAGAAGTTAAGAGTCAACAACAACAATAGTAATAATGAACTGCCACTTATGAGGACCTATCCTGGGCCGTGACCTCATGTCACTTTCAGCCAGGAACCCTGCAAGGCTGGAATCAGCATCTCTTTCACAGATGGGGACACAGCATTCGTTGCTCAAGGACTGAGCATGGAACTCAGAGGTCAGGGATCTATTCTGGGCCCTTCTAAATTCTAGTTTTAAAGACCTTGGGTATGTCCTTTCACCTGTGGGAGACCTAGTTTCCCTGTATTGCAAGGAGGGTCATGTTTGTTCTCCCCGATGCACACTTTTGCTGCAAAGGCTAAATGCAACAATGGCTCGGAAAAGAGTTTAGGAGTCGGGCGCAGTGGCTCACACCTGTACTCCCAGCACTTTGGGAGGCAGAGGCGGGCAGATCACTTGAAGTCAGGAGATCAAGACCAGGCTGGTCAAACATGGTGAAACCCCGTCTCTACTAAAAATACAAAAATTAGCCAGGCGTGGTGGCATGCACCTGTAATCCCAGCTACTCGGGAGGTTGAGGCAGCAGAATTGCTTGAACCCAGGAGACGGAGGTTGCAGTGGGTTGAGACCGTGCCTCTGCACTCCTGCCTGGGTGACAGAGTGAGGCTCCATCTCAAAAAAAAAAAAAAAAAAAAAAAAAAAAAGAGAGAGACAGAGAGAGAGTTTAGGGCCAGAAATGCACACAGTGGAGTGACGCTGATTGCTGATTAGAGAGAAGGTATGTATGAAGCACCTGGCAGTTGTTGAAGTGCGGCCATCATGACCACACTGTGCAGCTTTTCTCCCTACAGGTACTGCCAGTTAGGGGCTCATGGTAGCTTCGGTTCATGGCCTCAGCCTGATTGTCTTTGGCTGCTCTCATGGTCCCCCAGCTTTCCCTGTTAAACATGAATCCCCTCTACTCCCTCCGCTCAGCAAAATAGCCCTTCCTCTGCCCCAATCTCTCAGCCTCCAAACGCCTCTGGGTAGTATGCGGTGCTCTCAGGACACTTTCCAGCTTCATTTTTGTGGATGCTCTAGAGAAGGTGCTCATTCTCCCGGTAGGGCAGAGGCAGAGCAAGCAGCCTGCAAGATATTCTGCTGGAGCATTTGGGGGAATCAGGGGATAGTCTTTCTGGTTGGTGACAGGGGTCCTCCTTCAGCTGTGCCCCGTGGGTAGGGGCTGTGTGATTATGGACAAGGCATTGTCTCACTTACCCTCAGATGCTTAGTCTACAAAAGGGGGTTGTTCCCCGGGTGCAGTGGCTCAAGCCTCTAATCCCAGCACTTTGAGAGGCTGTGGTGGGTGCATCGCTTGAGCCCAGGAGTTCGAGACCAGCCTGGGCAACATGGGGAAACCCCATCTCTACTAAACAAATGCAAAAAATTAGCCAGACATGGTGGCACATGCCTGTAATCCCAACTACTCAGGAGGCTGAGACACACGGATCACTTGAACCCAGGAGGTGGAGGTTGTAGTGAGCCAGGATCACACCATTGCACTCCAGACTGGGTGACAGAGTGAGACTCAGTCTCCAGATAAATAAATAAGTAATAAATAAATAAAATGGGGTTTTTAATACCCACCTCACAGGGCACTGAGCAGATGAGATGATGCAATCTATGTGCTACCCCTTCTGGGACCCTATTACAGGTCTGCTGGGACACTTCCTTCTCATTAAGTGTGAGGGTTCAATTCCCTGCCCCAAGGACGTGTCTTAAAAGGGAGATGCCCAAGAGGGAGAGACCCCAGATCATGGGTCCCAGGTGTGCCCCCTCCTCCACTCCCACCCTGAGCTCCGTGACTCCAGGTTACTCACTGGATTTTCTTTGTGAAGTTCTTAGAAACGATGCCACCTTCTTGCTGTTTCTCTTCGTGTTTGCCTGGAAGGAAGAAAAGTGTGGTGTGTCAGCATCTATGTTCCTTGGGCATCCTTCAGGACTCAGGCTTGGGTTCAAATCCTGGACCTGAACCTGCCTTGCTGTGTGGCTTAGGTCTACCCTAGAGACTCCAGTTCTCTAAGCCTCAAGGACCTTGTCTGCCATACAGACCCACTTAAGTCCACCTCCAAGGCTGGCTATGAAGGTGAAATAAGGAAATTGATGGAAAGGAGGCATTGACCGTGGTTTGTAGGTAATGAAGGGTTACTCTGAGGAAATCACAGAAGCTGGGCCATGTGTTGTACCAAATCTTCCCAGTCTCCCACCTGACTCCTCTTCTCTAACCTACCAGTAGAACCCTGGGGCTGACATCCCAGACTGGGTGGCAGGCTTGAAGTGGGGTCACATGCTGAGGGCAAGTCTGCCATGTAGCTTGCTTTACAGCCAACAGAGTGCTTTCCTAACTCTGAGCCCAGACATCGTTCTCCCTTTGATTCCTGACATGGAAACTGAGGCCTGGTGATGGATCCGGGGTCGCCCAGCAGGTCCGTGGTGGCTCTGAGCTTCGAATCAGCTCTCTCTGAGTCTAGGCCAAGTTCTAGGGCCTGATGCCCCTCTGCTCTTGAATTTCTGTCTGTTCCAGCTCCCGCTTAGCTCTTTAAGCCGCATTATCTGTAGCCAGTAGTGAAAGCACAGCCTGGAAAAAGAATGCTTCAGTGTACCAAAAACGCCCAGCTTCTCCTAAGAGCACTGTGGATGTGAAATTCCACCAGCCCTCCTGCCTCTTACCCTGCGGGACGAGAGGGCTTCCCAACTCCCTTAGGGAGGAGAAAGATGAAATTACGAGAAGGCTTGGGCCTAAACTGGTTTTGATCTAGTAACGTATATAGCACCTTCTAGTTCTCTCAGTCTCTCCTCATTCTGTTTTTCTTTAATAAAGAGGGTGGCTCTAGTTTCTCTTTAAACAAACAAGATTAGTACAACACTGGGGCCATTCGGCTGTTACTTTTCAGTCCTCATTTGTGGGGCCACCTTCTGGAGACAAGAACTCTCATTTACACAGGGAGGTGCTTCTGAGAGGCCTTGAAATCTAGAATGTAAATAACTTTGTTGAATATAGCAGTCCAGATTTTTTTTAAACTGACAACTTATAGCTAATTACTTTTAATTATTTCTTTGTTGATAGCTTTTTTTGTGCTTTAAGATAATGCATGTGTATGTTAGAAAATGTAGAAAATAGGCGGGGCATGGTGGCTCACTCCTATAATGTCTGCACTTTGGGAGACAGGAGGATCACTCGAGGCCAGGAGTTTGAGACCAGCCTGGACAACATAGAGAGGCACTGTTTCTAAAAAATAATAATAATAGGCAGGGCATGGTGGCTTATGCCTGTAATCCTAGCACTTTGGGAGGCCGAAGCAGGTGAATCACGAGGTCAAGAGATCGAGATCATCCTGGCCAACATGGTGAAACTCCGTCTCTACTAAAAATACAAAAATTAGCTGGACGTGGTGGCACATGCCTACAGTCCCAGCTACTTGGGAGGCTGAGGCAGGAGAATTGCTTGAACCTGGGAGGTGGAGGTTGCAGTGAGGTGAGATCGTGCTACTGCACTCCAGCCCAGTGACGGGGCGAGACTCTGTCTCAAAATAGTAATAATAATAATAATAGTAATTAATATTATTATTATATCCAGGTGTGATGGTGCGTGCCTGTAGTCCCAGCTATTTGGGAGGCTGAAGTGGGAAGATTGCTTGAGCCCAGGAGTCTGAGGTTACAGTAAGCTATAATGCACTACTGCCCTCCAGCCTGGGCAAGAGAGTGAGATCTGGTCTCTAAATTTAACAACAACAACAACAACAAAAGAAAAAATTAAAAAAAAAAAGCCATCAAAACTACCCATAATCCTGTCACCCCAAGGAAGCTACTAATATATATTTTATATGTTCTGACTTTTCTACGTTTCTCAGAAATGTGTAAATGTTATATAGTATCCACGTATATCAGTATTCTATCAAATGGGATAGTTCTCTGCATTATGTTTGGAACTTATTTTTTCTCTTGCTAACACATTATAATTACTTTTCCATATTACCAAATATTCTTTGACAACATAATTTTTAATGGCTGCAGTGTTCTATTGAGGAATACATAAGAGCTAATTTAACCAATCCCCTACTTTGGGGCACTGAGGAGTTTCCAACATTGGAGAGAACTTCACGGCCCTGAACATTCTTGTAGCTTTACACCAGGCCCTGTGACTTCTTTAGGATTAACTGAAGACTAATCCAACTTCCAGAATTTCTAAGGCTTAATCTGTATTGCTAAATTGCTCTCAGGAAAAGAAATTCATTTTAAACTGGAGTGTCTGGCTAAGCAGAACATGCTATTCTGTGAATGTGTGACTGCTTAAACAATCTATCCTGTGCTGCCAACTCCGTGACCACCAGCTGCCTGGCTCTAACACAGGCCTGTGCCCGGAAGAGCACTATCTGTTCTTTGGTACCCTCCACATAGCCAGGGCGCCGGGAGACCTGCTTCCCCTGGGGACAGGCCAGTGCCTCTGACTCAGCCCTTTTGCATCCGAGAATCCTCCTGCAAGCTGGTGTCCTGGGAAGAATAACTGATGATATAAATAATAATAGCAAAGTAATATAGTGCTTCCTTGGTGTCAGCCACTGTTCTAAGCACCTTATCTATGTCAACTCCTTTAATTTTTGCAACAACCTTAAATAATAATAGTAAAATGATAATATAAGCAGGCAGTTTCATTATTATCATTTTGTAGATAGGAAACCTGAAGTTCAGAGAGGTTAAGTGCTGTACCCAAGGTCACACAGCTTGGAAGTGACTGGTGCAAAGATTCAAAAGCAAGCAGATAGGTTCTGGAATAGTGGGTTTTGGACTTAAGTCTCTACTCTGACATTTCCTGGCACATCTCTGAGTGTCTCTGAGCCTCAGTTTATTCTTCTCTGAAATGGGAGTGACAGCACCTACCTTATTGGGTTACTGTAGGAAGCAAATGCAGGCGAGTCACAGAATGGCTTTGAAGTTGTAAAAGTACCATGTGAAGGTAAACGCTTGTGGTTTATTTTGATGTTTGGGGAAAGGACTGCTTCTCAGAAACTAGGTGCCTCTGTCTGCTCTGAAAATAGGGTATTGGGCTGAGGGAAGGGAGGATCTCTGAGCAGGGAAAGCTCCAAGATCTCCACAAGAGGGGCCTGGAGGTGGAGTTAACCTGGTTGAGAGAGAGTGTTGTTAGGAGGATCATCTTGAAACTCAATTTGCTTGTCATTTGCATACTTCCATTGGGGCAGCTTAAGGATTATGAGTGATTTTTAATTTCTTATTTTGCTTTCCTAACTACATAGTCTATCATGAAGACATTTTATTTTTGTCAACAGAAAAAAGTAATTATTACGATTTTTAAAAATACATCCAGAGGCTAGAAGTCAGAGACCCCTTGCAGACATGCTTTTTTTCAACATGCCTCAGAGAAATGTAAGTGGAACACTATTGGCCCAGCTAAAGAAAGAAGGTGCTGTTTCCAGGGAAGACAGAGGCCCTGGGACTAAGGAGAAGGGCTGGCAATAAGGCCTTGGGGCTTTCCAGTCTCTATCTTAGCCAGGGTCTGGCCCAGTGGCCCATGAAGGGAACATCTCTTGGCTGGTGGTTGCAGGATGCGGGCAGGGGAACCTGAGGCTTGCTGGAAATTGTCTAGTCCAGCATGTTCCGAACACTTCCTTGAATGAGACACTCATACGTGGTCAGATAAGACAGGGCTGCCTCTCAGAGATTCATAAACTACATTAGTGACTTAAAGGCTCTGACAAGTCCTGCAATGAGAAGACCGGTTTATAATTTTGTTTTTACTGGTACCATATAAGACTCTGAACTCTCCTACTCCTGTTTCTAAATGCCTAGTAACCACTTGAAGTGCTTTGGTAAATTCTGATCTTGTCTACCTCTTCATAAGACCAACAGTAAAACTGAGGCTTCAGAGGCTGTGGGATTTGCTCAGGGTCACACCGCCAGAAGTAGATCCAGCCATCCTGGCTCAGAACCAGGCAGAGAGGCCTGACATTGAATCTCAGACACTGCCAGGGAGAAGTGGGTGATCTCAGGTGAGTTACTTTCCCTGGGCCTCGGTTTCCTTATCTGCATAATGGGGTTAACCTACCCACACTTCCTAGGAGGTCCTTATGAGGAACCACTGAGCCACCACATGTAGGCCTTTAGCACATACTTGTGGAGGAATGGATTTGTCATTATGTGGTACAGGGTGGGAAAGTGGATCTGACTTCCAACTTCCCTTGAAAATTGCTTTTTATTTATTTTTATTTTTTATATCTTTTGAGACAGAATTTCTTTCTTGTTGCCCAGGCTGGAATGCAGTGGCATGGTCTCGGCTCACTGCAACCTCCACCTCCTGGGTTCAAGCGATTCTCCTGCCTCAGACTCCTGAGTAGCTGAGATTACAGGTGCCTGCCACCATGCCCAGCTGATTTTTGTGTTTTTAGTAGAACAGGGTTTCACCATGTTGGCCAGGCTGGTCTCAAACTCCTGACCTCAAGTGATCCTCCCGCCTTGGCCTCCCAAAGTGCTGCGATTACAGGCATGAGCCACCGCACTCGACCCGAAAGTTGCTTCTTAAATAGAGCGCCTGATATCAATTTTATTTTTTTAAACTCCTTCTTTGAAAGCACTTGTATGGACTCTCAGGGAATTTGGATTCTGTCTAGCCGATGTCACTAATTGTACATCTGAAAAGCTTTGTCTTAGTCTTATGTAAGCTCCCAATGACCCCATTTTACAGATGCGGAAACTGAGACTGCATGACTCACCCAAAGCCTCTGGATTAGTAAAATACTTAGCTGAGATCTCAACATGGAGCTGCCAGACCCCACCTGTTATGAAGCACCTACAAAAGAGGATGGTGAAAAGCCCTCCAGGCTGGACAGAGGGTCTCCTAGAGAGGCCACAGGGTAGGGAAGACCCTTGGACTTGGGCTGGAAGCATCTAAGAGCCTAATTAAAACAAGGACAGAAGGAATGGTGATAATCGTTCTGTTTACAGAATGCCAGCCAAGCACTATTATTAGCTCCATTTTATAGACACTCTGCATATGTGATCATAGATAGTCTGTCTATGTTTAATCTTTCCTACACTCTTGCAGGACAGATAGTATTATGATCCCCAGTCTGCAGATAGGAGAAATGAGGCTCAGAGGGATGAGAAGACTTTCTTGTCCACATCCATCATGCTAGTGAACAGCAGTGCTGGGATCTGAACCCAGGTTTCAAAGAGAATCTATTATTCATTATTTATTGGGGCCTTCCTGGATGCCTGGCATTATAACAACAACGATGGCAATACTACTACTAATTCCTTGTGTTCCAGGTCGTAGAAATGTGAAAGGAAAATAAATCTTGGGGCCCCCAAATCGCTAAGCTAAAGGGAAAAGTCAAGCTGGGAACTGTTTAGGGCCAACCTACCCCCCATTCTATTCAAAGTCAGCCCTCTGCTCACTGACATAGATGCATAGCTGCTTGCCTTCTTTGGAAAGGCTAATCAGAAACTCAAAAGAACTATTTGTCTCTCAGCTACCTGTGACCTGGAAAGCCTCTCCCTACTTCAAATCTTCCTGCCTTTGCTTCAAGTTGTCCTGCCTTTCCAGATGGAACCAATGTACTTCTTACATATATTGATTGATGTCTCATGTCTCTCTAAAATGTATAAAACTGAGCTGTGCCCAGACCACCTTGGGCATGTGACAGGAGGACTTCCTGAGGCTGTGTCATGGGCATGTCCTCAGCCTGGGCAAAATAAACTTCCTAAATGAACTGAGATATGTCTCAGATTTTCTGGGTTCACAGGTAGGTACACATTGTACAGCATCACCTCATTTAATACAACAATCTTTACGGTATAACCATTTGAACCCTAATTTCCAGATGAGGAAACAAAACAAGCACAAAGATGTAAAGTAATTTGCACATCCTGCTGGTTAGAGTTGGACCCAGTTTCGTAACTCGTGCCTGGCTCCCAGCCAACTCAGAGATCTGGCTGACCCTGTCAGCAGCACGTGGCCCCAGCAAGTCTCCCAGCCCACCACACCCGCTGGAGCCTCTGATGTTTATAATTCTGCCATGACTGGCTTGAAACTCCCCCTGAACATTGCCGGGGCTTGTTCCTGCCCAGCCTGTGTTTGCAATGGCTTTGACTGATTTTCTGGAAGGCAAGCCTCTGCCGGGAACACATTCTTTTTAATGGAGCGGGAGGGAAGGAAAAGAAAGCTTTTTCTGCTGCCCAGCTTAACAGGGGCTGAGCTTCCTGTCTTCTCTCTTTCTTCCCCCTTGTATGTTTCTTTCTCCCAGGGTGGGATGTGGCTGTGAGAGCCCTGAGCCTAAAGCTGTGGATAGGCCCAGTCCCTACTCCACTCCTATTGCTGACTCATGGCATGACTGTGAACAAGTCCCACCTAGGCCTCAGCCTCCTCAACTGCAAGATGGGCCTAGACACCCCTGCTACTCTGGACTTGACTGAGGGTGATTTTGGAGAAGAAGTATAAGAATGTCAGCCCAGCCCTTGGCACCTAGCAGGTGCTCAGTAAATCATTCCCTCTTTCTGGCCTCCTAATTCCCAGACAGCCTGGGTCTGAATCTTTGGTGGCCTTGAACAAGTTACTTTAATCTCTCCATACCTCAGTTTCCTCATCTGCAAAAAAAAGAAGATAAACAGTACCCACCTCCTCTGGCGGTTGTGTTAGCTGAGATATGATAGGCAACAGTATTTAGCAAAGTGCTGAGCACATAGTTAGCACTCAGAGTTACCAGTTAGTGTTATTACAATTACTGGTAAGCCTCAGTTTCCTTGTCTGGGACAAGGAGAGGTGTTTCACTGGAAACCAGTTGTGGATATTAACACTATCATTGCTCAGCCTTAACGTGAACTTCTAGACCCTGTGTTGTGATGCTGGAGTGCATGAAATCCCATTTCTTCTTTGTTTTTTAATTTTTTGATATCTGTTTAACCTGTTCTTTATATGAAATGCCCTCTGTCAAAATACCCAACGTGGTTTCTATTTTCCTGTCTGTACCCTGATTGATCAGCACCCAAAGGCCCCAGTAGCTGAGTCAGGCAGGTTAAGATCTCTGCTGGGAGCTGGGAGAGAAGTTTTCCATAAAGATAACTTTGTGGGCTGCATTCCTGAGCCCTGAGGTCACCTGTGTCACACTGTCCCAGCGTCTGCTCTCAGGAAACTTTTCTCCTGGCTATTCCCAGGGCTGAGGCCTACTCCCCCGCCCCACCCCTCCTCCCGCCGACCTCCTACCCCTGACTTACCAGACACCTCCACATATCCATCTTTGGTCTTCACCATCAACTCCTCTGGCTTGAAGCTGTGCACATTCACACACACTTTCCAGGGCTCCCCAGGGAAGGGCGGGGGGGTCCGGCCCTCGGCAGGTACCCCAAACCTGGCGGTGGCAGTGGGGCCCCGGGGCACCATGCCAGACCTTAGGGTGCCTGGCCAGGCGGAGGAGAGACGAGGCAGAGCCCAGTCGGGCCAAGAGGCCGTCAAGTCGTCTGGGAAGGGGTCCATGCCAAAGCCATCATCCAGCAGGCGAGAGGAGAGGGGAGAGTCCCGGAAGGGGTCTCGGCGCAGGCGGCTTGGGTAGTGGCAGGAGAAGGGCATCTGACCATCAGCCATGGTGGCTGCTGAGCTCAGAGGGAAACAGAGGCTCAGAGAGACAGAACCACCTGCCCAAGGTCACTCAACAAGGTGGTGTGGCTGGGTTAGCTTATTCTTCAGCTTCCGAAAATGCTGCTTTTCTGCAGGGAGAAGCAGAACCAACCACTGCCAGGGACGGTTGTGCCCCCTCAGCTGGGGTCCCAGACCCCAAAGGTGACCCCCAGGCAGGTCCAGCAGAATCCCAGAGGGCCCCTCTCCGCACTGCCTCACGACAGACCAGCAAGCCGCCGTCCTCCCAGGCTGCCCAGGCTGGCAGCCAGAGCCGCTGAGGTCTAGAGCGGAGCCAGGAGCTTAATAAACCCAGGGCACACGCGCCTAGAAACTTCTTCTGGCTCCTCCTGGGCTGCAAGCCTTCTATTTATTTGCTGCTGGAGACTGGAGGCGGGTTTTGCAAGCGTCTCCTGTCACAGGAATATTCGGAGGTGATGAACCAGCCCCGGAGAATCCGCGGAGGGAACAGCTGGGCTGTGGGGGGAGCTGGGAGGGGCCGCGTCCAAGTTCAACCAGCCTCTCTGGACACTCTCTCCTCCCCTGGCCACTCCGCTCAGCTCCGCCCTCCGCTTGCTCCTGGCGCTGGAGCCGCCCTCCCGGAGAGGCGCACTAAGGCCTGGCTATTAATAACCCCTAGCCTGGCTGAGGGCTCAGGTCACCCTCTGGAAATACCTTCCCCAGAGCGTGTCGTATCCTGCCTTTCCCCTGGGGACCTACAGAAAGGGAAGAGAGAGACATTAGCCCAGTGGATTTGAAGGATGTCCGTGGGTTGGAATCCCCAGTTACAAGGTGGCCAAGCTCCTAAAGCCTCAACGCCCTCTGGGGAGAGCGGTAAAGAAAAAACAAAAAATTATACATATATATATATGTATTCATATGACACTTGTCAAAGTATGATAAGCAAGACTTTACTGGGCAGGGAAACTTTCTCCATAGATGTAAGGACCCCCGCAATGGGATTTTGCAGTGAGGGAGAAAGATTAGATTTGATTCCCAGTAGGTCATAGGTAAGTGGGAATTTGTAGGCAAGAAGCAGGTGGGGTGGGGATAGGATCAGCGAATGGAAAATTACTAGGAGGAAAGTCCAGGGATCAGAGGGATTCAGGCTCAGCTAACCTAAGAGGATGCTTGCTGAAGACAGGCCAGGGTGCTCAGATGTCACCTGGGGGATGGTGGAGGATGGAGAAACTAATCAGATATGGAGGGTGATCAGAAATCGAAGATGGGTGATTGCTGCTAAACAGACTTAGCAGAGTTCACGCCAAAACTGAATTTTTCTTTCTTTCTTTCTTTTTTTCTTTTTTTTTTTGAGACGGAGTCTCACTCTGTCCCCTAGGCTAGAGTACAGTTGTGCCATTTTGGCTCACTGCAACCTCTGCCTTCCAGGTTCAAGCGATTCTCCTGCCTCAGCCTCCCGAGTAGCTGAGATTACAGGCACCCGCCATCATGCCCAGCTAATTTTTGTATATTTTAGTAGAAACGGGTTTCACCATCTTGGCCAGGCTGGTCTTGAACTCCTGACCTCATGATCCACCTGCCTCGGCCTCCCAAAGTGCTGGGATTACAGGCATGAGCCTCCTCGCCTGGCCCAAAACTGAATTTTTATAAGGAACTTCACAGATGGACTTAGGAGAAGATTCAGAAATCTGATTAATGTTTGATCAAGCAAAGCATCTTTATAGGCAGTAACATTATTCCCAGGCACCTCCAAATTGTCAGTTTTCCTCCTTATAAATGGATGTAACAGTAGTCAATTCACAGATGTGCCATGAGGAATACATGAGGTAATTCTCTTTCAGCACCTAGCAGTCTGATGGGCACCTTTGTAGTTTCCATTTTGAGTTATCGATTACATAATGTTTGCTATATGCCAGGCCCTGCTCTATGGGCTTTATAAATATGAACTCATTTAATCCTCAGCAGCAATCCCATGAGGTAAGAGTACCAGTATTATCCCATTTTACAGATGAGAAAACTACCATAGAAGTGTTCATGAATAGTAGCTTCTGTTATTATTATGACTGTTAATACTGATAATTATTGAAAAGTAGTATACTCAAGCAGGATGTCTGGTCTGAAACTCAAAGCCCCAAATCTAGACTTTCCCTCTCTAACCACACAGCTGGAAGAATGAATTTACAAATCCTCCTTTGGCCCGGAGGCCTCTTCGCCTTTGGTTCTAATCTTTGATCTGTCCGCAACAGGTAGACAATTTTCGGCATGTCGTTTTCCCTCTGTGGGCTTTTGGGTCTCAGCCCTGCCTTCTTCACGAGATGAGGGTAAGTTGAGGATATTAAGGAATTCGGTGAGTCATAGGTTGAGAAATTGTTTTGATATTAAACAGTGTTTGCATGAGGCAGTTTGCTAAAAATAATAATATGGAGAAAAACAATCACTGTCACCCATTGCCTCCTGTGCATCTGCTTTTAGAGTTAGTATATTTCAGACATTACTGAGTTAAACCCTCACTCAATAGTTAAGTGTCACTATTATCATCACCCCCATTTTGCAGGTGAAAAAACAGAGGCACAGAGCCTTGGCCCTTGCACACAGATATGGAGTGGCAGAGCCTGGATGGGAACCTGGGTTGTTCTGAATCCCGGATCTGTGCTTAACCGACAGACAGAGACCCCTGCCCTCCTCCCCAGCTGAGAAAGAATGGTCGGGACCCCATGGCATGACATGTCCCGAGTGACTGGGCCCCCGCTGGATGTGGGGTGAGCTCATCAGGCTGGAAGCTTCGGGCTGACGTCATGGCTGGGCACAGAAGCCTCTGCTTTCTCTGTAATTACAGCTGGGCGGGGCCGGCTGAGTTGGAAACCAGTTGTGGGGAGAATCACTGCATGCCGCATGACGCACCAGAGAAACCTGGCCCTACCTGGGACCTGGGCAGGGGCTGGGGTGAGGTTTCTGAGTGCGTGGGACAGGGTGGAATGAGTTTGTGTGTGGATTTGAGTGGGTGCAGGGGTGAGTGTGTGTTTATGTGCCGATGGGGCTGTGTTTATTTATTGGCGAGTCTGCTGGTGGGGTATGTTCGGGAAGAAACTCCCCTCCTTCTCCCTTTCCAGGCCATCCCCAAACCTCCAGAGGACCCCTCTGCCTAAAACGCGGCTTAGTTGGTACCAGGGGACCCAGAAGGAGGGGAAGCCTGGCGAAGGAGCAGGGAACTGAACCGTGATGACCTAATCCACCTTCTCATTTCAAGGATGAGGGGGAGGAGAGAGAGGATGCAAAGGTAGAAAATAGAAATAACAATCATTAGCATTTATGGGGCACTTGCCCCATGCCAGTTTCTGTTCTGAGCACTTTAAATGTATGTGCCTAAAACTCTTGTACTTCTCACCACAATCCTACTAGGAAGGATGTTTTATTTATTTATTTATTTATTTAGAGGTGGAGTTTCACTCTTGTTGCCCAGGCTGGAGTGCAATGGCATGATCTTGGCTCACTGCAACCTCTGCCTCCCTCCCGGGTTCAAGTGATTCTCATGCCTCAGCCTCCGGAGTAGCTGGGATTACAGGCACCTGCCACCACACCTGGCTAATTTTTGTATTTTTAGTAGAGATGGAGTTTCACCGTGTTGGTCAGGCTGGTCTCAAACTCTGGACCTCAGGTGATCCACCCCCTCGGCCTCCCAAATTGCTGGGATTACAGGCATGAGCCACCATGACTGTCAGGAATGTTTTATTAAACACATTTTAGAGATGAGGAAACTAAGGCACAGAGAGATTACCTGACATGCCTATGTCAGTGGCAGAGCTGGGATTCGAACTTGGGCAGTTTGGTTCTTGTCTCATCTGCTACACTGCCTCTGAAGTCAAAGTCATGGCTCACATTTATTGAACACTAACCATGCACCCAGCCCTGTGATCAACAGTTTTATCCATGACCTCATGGAATCCTTGTGGTTCAGAGAGGTGAAGCCACCAAGGATTGGAATCCAAGTCGGGGGGACTTGGGAGTGCACGGTAATAACCGGTATGAGACAATATTGGCCAAGCCTTACCCAGCGATCCTTCCACACTACCTGGTGTCCTGTTCCCCTTTGGGCTCTCATTGCATTTCTGGATCCAGCCAGCCCTTCATGTCAGGACGCTGAGGAGGGAGGCAGCTGCTCCTGCTAACTCGGCCACCTGGTGAGGAGTCAGCTAACACACGAGGAAAGTGGTCACTAAACCCCATGGGCTGTCACCAGTCAGGTGAAAATATGACGCCAGGCTCAGGAGAGGCCCGGGAAAAGGGGGGGCCTCCAAGCTGGTTCCACCAGGGAAGAAGAGACCTTAGAGGGTACTGTGGTGCAGGGTACGGACGTTAGATCCTGGGAACCAGAGCATTGTTCTCTTGGATGCCATCCTCTTAGAGCTTTCATATGGGGCATACCGCTATTAATTCTCAAAACAGCCCAGGAGGAGGATGAGATCACCCTACATGTGCAAAACTCGGGGGAAGTGGTGGTCTGAAGCTAGGACCAAGTAGGACAAAGACACAGCTGCCAGATTCTGTGCCTTTTCTTTTCAGTGTAGTAAGAAACAAAAGTTCCCACCCTCCCCTAGGGGATTCCCAGCCCCCAGCCCCTCCCCAGGGTCTGAAGACCCGTCTCAGAGTTGGTTCTTTTGGGTGGCCCTGGATCCCAGCACATCCTCCAGAAAATAGGAAGTAAGCGTGCTCATGCCTTTTTATTTCTTTCGTTTCTCAGACTCCCCTACGATGACACTAATGGAATTTCCAGCACACTTGGCTCCATACAGCAGGAACCTTGGATGTCCTGCTCATAGCGGCATCCCCAGCACCTAGAGGGTGCCTGCTGCACTGTAGAAGCCCAGCATATCTTGGATGAGTAGATGATGTCATATCAGCAACCCTGGGTCTGAATTGCCTAGCACCCACTGGGTAGACTCTACATGCAGTAACAGCATCAGAATATTAACTAATATTTCTGCAGTCCGTAAAAGGTGCCAGGCACCAAGGCTTCCCAAGCATGCTCTTTTTAATTTTCATCACCGCCCCCTGGAGATTTTATGCTATCATTATTCCCTTTTTACAGATAAGGAAACTGAGGCGCAAGACATGAAGGGACCTGCCCGAGGCCTCCAGCTTATGGATTCTGAACTTAGGTTTGTCTGAACTTCAAGCCCAGGCCTCTTTTCTCTGCCGCACACCCTGGCAAGAATGAATAAATAAACAAAATAAAATAAACAGCCTGCAGTGAGTCCCTCCCTAAATGAGCCTACGCCCTCACAATCCTGGGAAAGTAACACTTATTTATTGGAGCTCTAGCTTTCTTCTATTATTTTTCTCCAAAATTCTTTCCAGGACTTTGCCTTCCCTGACCACCTTTGCAAATAATGATCATAGTGGTAATAATAATAATAATAAATACGTATTTAACATTTAGTACCAATTGTAAGTGCTTCGCATATATCAACTTATTTAATTCTCACGTGAATTGCTCTAAGGTAGGTATTATTATCCCCATTCACAGATGACAACATCAAAGCACAGAACGGTTAAATAACTTGCCCAAGGTCACACAGCTACTAAGTGGCAAAGCTGGGATTCACGTCTAGGCAATCCGGCTCCAGAGTCTGTGTTCTTAACCACTATGTGATTCTGTGAATAATA